AATTTACTGATGGGGACCAGATAAAAATTCTTTCATATGCTCCTCTATAAATATCAAGTATCATTGATACAAGTAAAGTTGATTTTCCAGAACCTGACTGTCCTACAATCATCGCCCTCATCGGTAATTTAGGGACGACATCGTGCTTACTTTGCTTAAAGTCATATTTGATTTCATCAATTGGTTTTACATCAGGCATAATAAAATAATATTATAAATACTTATAAAAAATTATATTTATTATTGAATGGAACATCATTATGTTATGTGTGGTGGTGAATAACATAATGGAACAGGTTTTCCATTGCTTCAATCAATAAGCATTGAAGATAATTAGTTTGAATTAGCTTGAACCTCGCTTGTGTTGTCCAGTCCGAAGAAACCCCATTGCTGAGCCCCGAATATTCTAATAATAAGATTAAATAATTATTTCATCTTATTATTTTATATGGATAGGACTTATTCAGATTATATTGATATAATAGATGAAGTAGAGAAAATAGAACAAGTTGTAATAACTGACAATAAAATTAAAAATGTTGTTATTGTTCGTTAGAATTAATTAAGCATATTTTTGAATATATCAAAAATAAAAATGTAAATATTAATATAAATGGGAAAAAAGAAAAACAAAAAGAATAAGACAGAAACAACAATTTCATCAACAGATGAAGACAGTGAAGAAGTTATTAATCAGACAGCGGTTATTGAGTTCCCTTGTCCAATGTGTCAAAAGATGTTAGAAATGAAAAACGAATTAGAAATACAAAAGAAGGGAAATTGTAAATGCTCGTGTGTCCCTATCGGTTTTAAGATAAGTAAAACTGATAAAAATGAATATTGATAAATCCAAAGACAGTATCAACTTAGAAACAGACGCACATAATATTGCTATACACTTTGGGAGGGGAGTTACTCCATCAGATAACGGTGACAATGAAACACAGGAAACTGTCAAGCAAATGATGAAACAATAATATATAAAGAGTAGATTTAACACCAAGTTAAACGCATAAATAAATAAATAAATAAATATATATATAAATATATATGTCAGATAGTGATAATGTGTCATTAAGTGAGTTGATAAAGAAGGTAAATATGTTGAATAAGAATATCAAGGCATTAACAGATTTAACAACAGGAATTGATGAAAAGTTTCAAGCCAAGATAGCAGATAATGTTGATGAGAAGGAAAAGATTGATAAGATTTTTGAAAGCCGTGGGCTGGGCAGGCCGAAGGGCGACCATCAAACAAAAAGACAATCTTATTTTGAGATGGTGTCCAAAGGGCGTATTAAGCAACCAAGAGAACAAACATTAGAATATTATAAAATCAGGAAAGATGAAAACGGTGAATATTCCTTAGATTAATTTCTAAATAATTCTAATAATATGAATTTATTAGAGATATTTTGTCCATAATCTTTACTTAACATAGTTAAAGAATAGTTCTTATTGAATATTGATTATCACGACTATGGAACACACAAAAGCACAAACCATCAAGGGTCAAATTTATAGTATCAAGAATACATTGAACAATAAAATATACATTGGAAGCACTAAACAAACATTGCATAAAAGAATGGCAAAGCATAGGCATGATGCTAAACATCAAGGGAAAATGTTAATAAGTCAAGAAATGAACAAACATGGTATAGACAATTTCTTCATTGAGCATTTGGAAGACTTTGAATATGAAAACTTACAACAACTACGAAAAAGAGAGGGTGAAATCATTGATGAAACACAGGCAGAACTAAATGAACGAAAGGCAGGAAGAAACCCACAAGAGTACTACATAGATAAAAAGGAAATGTTTAAACAACGATATTTAAACAACATTGACAAAATAAAGGCATGTGATAAAGAACGCTATGAAAGAGACAAAGATAAAATCAATGAACGAAAGAAGAAGCACCGTGAAACACATATAGAGCAATACAAGGAAAGAGAAAAACAATATTACTATGAGAACAAAGAAAAACGACTACAAAAGCATAAAGCATATGTTGAAGCAAACCCAGAAAAAATGAAGGAGTATTACCACCAGTATTACATTAAGAACCGAGAAAAGAAAAGGGCATACACAAAACAGAGGTATGAGTTGAAGAAGCAACAATTAAAACAGGAGAAGAGCAATGAGGAAAAGAACCAGGTTATGGAACAATCTTGACAATTGGAAACCTAGAAGTTTATGTAATAAAGATTGTGGTAAAGTTATTAACAATAAGCATATTGAAACAGCACAACGGGCACCAAGTGGAAAGCGGGTGGAATGGGGTGAGAATTATGTAAAACATAAACAGGAAGACCTTTATAAAGTCCCGAGTGAGTTAATTGCTGAAATCTTAGTGAGTGTTTGAAAGGGGGGCAAACAGAAAGAAAGACCAACCGCAACCCCCTCCCTTGACTACAAACCGTAGCCAACATGACTGCAAACCGTAGCCAACATGACTGCCAACCGTAGCCAACATGACTACAAACCGTAGCCAACATGACTGCAAACCGTAGCCAACATGACTGCGACCCAATTTTGGCTACATGTGCAAGACTGATGCCCCTCCTCGCTATATTTTGCATGGCTGGTTGGTTGCTTTGGAATGTTCTGTGTTCTGTTCCTTGTTTGGTTTTTTGGTTATGTTCTTTGTTGTTGGGGGTTTTTTGAATAAGGGATAGGTTTGATTTATCAAACCTCTTAGGCAACTTCGTTGCCTGAACCTTCAACCTATCTGAGTAAAAAGGGTTTAAAGGGTGGTTGGTATAGTGTAGTAGAGGTTATGGAAAAGAAATATTGCTCTAGTTGTCAAAGAGATAAGGATGTGAACTTATTCACTGAACCCTATAAACGTTGTGATAAGTGCCGTGAAAAGGACAAAAGGAAAAGCCAAGTTGTGTATCATTGTGATGTGTGTAATTGTCATATAAAAAGGACACATAAACCAAAGCACGAACGGACTTACAGGCACAAAGAAAATATAGAAAAGAATGAGGTTAACGATGTTTGAAATGGTTTAAGTTATTCATCAAAATGGATAACTCAAAGCATTTGGCGAGCGGATAGGAATTTCAAGAATTTATGTATGAACTTTTATGCTAGATTTGGGGGGCGCTTTTAAAATGTGCTGAAAACCCTAGGGTGGTATACACATTTTGAAGTGGGTTGTAGGCCCCCTGCTTGCTCTTTGACCTGTTGCTATGGGTGTGATGGACGCGAGACTCGCAACACCCTCCTTTTTCTTGGATTCGGGGGTTGCGTGGCCTCAGGGCACAGCTGTGCAGCTTGTACCCAATTTCGCATGTCCGCCCAATCTGGTTGCTCAGCCTCACCCACCGTGGCAAGAACGCGGGTGAACTTGCGCCGACATGGGGTCGCGGGCGGCGCGAGCAGAATGCATCTTAGTTTCCAGCTCTCTTCTCTTGAGCCAAGTCTGTTTTCACAAATGTTTTCCCCACTAAACACATTGCGCACGAACGTGGGCGCTGCAAATTCGAGAAGCTCTGTCTTTCTTTGGTGGCTGGGTATGTGCGCCATGAAGCACCGCTGTTGCTACAGTGGTGTTCATTTCCTTTGATTCGATCATGCCAAGCGTTTTTCGGGTGGTCGCCTTCTAACAGCAACAAACCCTGGGGGGCTTGACAAATCGTCTAGAATGATTCCCGTCAGTATGCGGAAGATGGTGGTCCGACTCCACCCTGGTACATTTTCTTGCCCCGCAGCCCCGGACCCTGACCACGTCAGAAAGGTGTGGGAATTGCCTTGGCCTGAGAGCGGTTCGCCTGAAATGACCACATTCCGCACTGTGAAAAAGTCGGAGCCAGCTTGGGCTTTGGAATCTGATTTCAAAAATTCACACACACACACACACCGGCAATCGCGATGCATCGATTGCCCGACACTGTGGCTTACAATAAGCCTTCATCTTATGCACTTGCGCCTGGAACATCGCACTTTTCAAACAGATCCTTTTCACGCATTGACATATTCATTTTCCAGCTACATATTCACGTGGCGGACGAGGTAGCGGCCAATCTCTGGTCATTTCCTGTGGCCTGTGCGCGCTGTCAATCCAGATGTGCCCTTGCATCCTCGGATGGCTCGTTTCTCACCCTTTCTGGAATCTTCTCACGAAGTTTGGAATTGGAAACGAATTAAAGCAGTGAGATGGGCAATGCGCGCGACTCGCTGCCTAAAAAGCCGGCAAGCGCCTCCAAGACACGCAGCCTCGAAGGCTCGCGGAAGCCAAGTAATTCTCTAACGCGGAGTTGAATTCGAAACCAGCAATTTGAAAATGCGAGATCTACAAATTCGATGCTAATTACAAATTCGGTTAGAGTGTCTACCTCAAGTTAGAACAAATAGCATGACTTTAGCTAAGGTTTCGCTAGAAAGGAGTATCTAATGAGGGCAGAGTTCTAGGCTTGAAGATGCGTTTTCGATTCCACGTTTTTGTATTTTCCTGTAATATCTAGTTAGGCTGTAAATGCAGCTTGGCAAGGGATTGAGTTCAGTCAGAATCTTCAGCTGAGTTTTTGTTTTCCCCGGGGCTCCTTTCCAAGCAGGATTTTCAAATCTAACTTGGGCACAAGCCAAATCAATAAGGAAGAGATCAATTCAAGTTTTGGTTTGAAGTGGAAGTGAGCTAAATATGAATGAATGACTTTCCATGCGTGATTTCGTTCGATACTCAATAGAACTTCAAGGCGCATATTTATGTTTACGTGGAACGCTGCAGACGTGACAGGCAGCCAAATTCAAACACGCGTAATGACTTCCGAGCTTGAAGCTGGCCTGTGCAATGCGAGCGTTAGACGATGACGCAAACCACCGGGGTGTTTGGGTGCCCCAGCCTTCCCAAGGCAAACCAGGTCAGTTTCGATTCAAACCGAAACACAGCGATGCACCTTTGCCGTTTGGAGTGGTGCATTTTTCGTTCGCCACGCGGACGCCTGGCGCGTCCTTTAAGGGGTTCCGAACACATTCTTTCGCCAGGCGCATGGTGATGCTTGCCATGGTGTCTCGGCGGTGGGTGAGGGGACGCGGTTTGCTTGCCCAGGCGTTTCAAAGAGACAGAATTTGGCTGGCTGCTGTCCCAAAAGGCGCTTCGGAAGCGGACAGCTCTGGACTCCGTTTTGTCTTGGCGTTTGACGGCGCCCATCATATTTTCCAAACCGGCTATAGGCCCTTAACCGTGCTAGAGTCTGGGCAGGCCCTGCAGTGGTGGCTTCCCTACTTCAGCAACAATTATTGGGCTAATTGGCCCATCATGGCCCAAGCTTCGTAGCAGTGATTCATTGGACGCACGCGTTCAGCCCTTGACTATGACCCAGCCATCGAAGGGCGCTTTGAAAGAGACCTGAAACAAAGGAGTTGTTTTGGTTGGTTGGGTGTTCTTCCGCTTTCTGGGTGTGAAGTTCGAAACGCCCAGCCCGTTTTCTTAGGCGGAATCAAGCTTTCAGGTGCCAACCCCCCCTTTTCGGGAAACGACAACCGTCAAGAACCTGTAGGGTTGGAAACGGGCTACAGTGCGGTCGCGTGTTGGATTTGTCGGGCGCAGGCTCCTGTCACATGCTCATGGTTGGCGATAGAGATATGAGAGTTGACCAAAGATCCCGAGTGCTGGTTTGGGGGTTTCCGTCTAGGCATGGTTGAGGTTGATCTAGGATTGGATTAGGCTTAGGCTTGGAGAGGGTTGCTGCAGGGCTCGTTGGGGATTGCTGCGGCTCACCGCTTCCAACTTGGGCCGCCTAAGCGTGGCCGCGGGGGAGCCATTTCTGCAAAGGGAAGGACGGGTCAAAATATTTTGCGCCAGCACAGACCCCAAATGGCAATCATTGCACACAAGCACCTCCAACAGCACTTCCCGAAGAGCACCCCAAAACCCGGCCGTCAATTGAGCAAAAATGCGCTTGCGGCGTCACCAGCTCTTCCCCTCTCCCGCAAGATGCAAGGGGGCATACTGGCGCTGGTGATGTTTTAGGATGCTGTTTAGGGAGTTGCTTGAGGTGCTGGTGATAGCGCGGGCGCATTTTTGCGACATTGACGCCCAGGTACTATCGGGCAAGCAGGTGCATCTTGACAGTAGGCTGCAAGCTTGGGGTGCCCATCAATCTTGCAAATCACTTTCCCCCCGTGTTAGAAGCTAGGGTCCCTATAGCTTTCTGGGGAAATAACTCTAAAACATTCCGCTGCTCGCGCAAATTTCGGCACCCATGCTGGGTGCCTTTGCAAGCAGGCGTTGTAGCGCCTTGAGCTGAAACGTTTGGAGCATCTCGCCCACTCCGCCTTGCAATTAATGCGCGTTAGAGTGTGCAGGGCTCAGGTTTCAGGGGTGATGACGCAGGTCAGGAAAATGCATTCGGCACCATCCCAATGTCCACTTGTGCCCACCCCAGTCCAACGTGTGGAGGGCGCTATAGCAAGCAGGAGCTTACCCCCAACCTCATACCACACCCCCATTTAATAACTGCCCCCTAAATCAACCATACCAAAACCATAACATGAGATGGGTAAGTCCCCTGTCCCGAAAAATCCCACCAAACAACAAACCACACAAAAACCAAACAACCGACCACACAAAGAACAATTACAAAACACTCACCAACAACTCACAGATTAACTCACTCGGGATTGTATGTATTCAATTATATTATTTAAGGATAATATAATTAAACTGTAAAGATTGCCAAAATCGGATTTTTTACCAGCAAAAACTTTACAAATGGAAATCGCTTATATATTCAAGTTCTTCTCTCACCTCATCACCTTCACTTTCGGTTTCACTGTCTTCATTGAAGAAAACTTCATTTAATTTGTCAGCAATTTCCATACCAAAACTATGACCGTAAAGTATATTATGCCTCTTGTCCTCATTCATGTCAATATAATGTAAAATTTTCATTAATTCTTTGAACAAGTCATTCAACTCATCATAAGCATCTTCCATACTTTCGCCGTTTGTATCCCAAAAATAATTCATGGTGTTTTTTTCAGTGCTTCCATTGTTTTTCAAGTTTGATGTTCCAATATAAAATTGTTAAAACTTGGTGATGTCTGTTGCTTAAATTTTGTAATTTTGGTATGCTTCGTAAATCTTTAAGCGTTGGTAAATCATCACCCTTTACATCAATATAATATGCTAATTTGATGCTATATAAATCAAAGTTGTCATTATCATTTCCATATCGTGTTCGGTGGTTTATTACGCATATCATTTCTTCACATGTCTCACATCTGATATTATTTGACATGTTCTGCATAATATCAATAGGTAATGATTTTGATGACGTTTTTAATCTGGCATTTGTTTTAGCCCAAGCTTTACAAACATACACATCGCAACATGTACACACATAATTACTTAATACTTGTTGTTTTGCTGTTTCTAAATCATCAAAGGTTTCAATTTTATACATATCATTCTCACTTTCTGTATCGCTCATCATTTTACTAATATATATAGGTATTATTTCTTTAAACCTTTTTAGTCTAAAACTATAATTTCAACTTTTCATGTCACAATAGAGGTTTGGGAGAATCACTAACATGATAATACTTCTGACCCAATTTAGTTTCTATTTTGGTTATTGTATGGACTGCCCTTAACCAATGACTGGTTCCCTCTTTCTCGCTAATCGCTTTCTTTCTCATTATCTTGACTTTGTCCCCTACATCTAAATCAGGATACACACGGGTTTTTCTGGCATTCATTGATATATTCAGTTTAACCTCAAACTCATTTTTCTTTTTCCTTGCTTCTATTGGGGTAAATTTAGTTATGGAACTTACTAATCTATTATTATATGTCAATAATATTTCTAAATTGTAATCTATCCATTGTATATTGTCTTTACCTTTCTTTTCATCCGCATCAACTCTTTTAAAAAGCATATCCTTAAAGGTTCTAATAAATCTTTCTCCAAATGCCGGATGGCCTCTCGTGGTGTGTAATTCATTTTTCCTCATCAAGATAATCTGTAATGGTAGAACTAAACAAACTGCCTTCTTCGTCGCTGTATATAATTTTGGGTTTTCCGCCTATTTTCTTAATGCCTTCCATTATTCCTGCTAATACATCAGCAGGTTGCTTACTTACAATACGTATTACAGTAGCATATTTACTAAATATATCAATTAATATTAATCCAATTCTAAACTTGATTTTCCAAATCATTCTTAGAAATAAAACACAAATCCAACTGAAATTCCCAGAATGAGTGTGGCGCAACAAAACTATTTTGCCCTCTTGGTTTTATTTTCTCTTCAATATTATTTTTAAAGAATTCATTTACATCACTCATAGTAATTGTTTTGTCCTTCCTTCTTGCATCTTGTAAAGTTATTGCTTTACTTCCGTATCCGCTTTTATCGTAATAAATATCACTATTTTTTGTTTATCCATATAATTAATTAAGATTTTAAAATTAAAATATTAAAATCTTAATGAGCACTGGCATTGCAATAGAAGCAATAAGCAACACAGTTATCCATTTCATGCGCTGTATCATTACATAACCTTTGTGCTGTAAAGTTGCTACATAATTGTCCCTTCTTCGTTTCAAAGTTAAATGAAGTATTACACTTTTGGCATCTACTTTTAAACTGCGACAAGCACCATTCAGCAGTTATGTATTCTTCGTCATTGATGTCTCTTCCTGCTCTCCTGTCTTGTATCTTATAATTTTCTACTTTGTTTTTAAAATATCTCATTATCATATTTTTATCCATTTGCTTCTCAAAGTCTGGATTACAATAAAATTTAACTTTCCTAAAATCAACACAGCGAGTTAATGCCGTCCATATCCACTCTCTGCTGGTTATGGGTAAGTCCCATTCGTGAATAGTTATGCTTTCCTTTACGCTTGACCCCTGACTTGAATGACAAGTAGCACAGTAAGGATAGATATTTTTTTATCTACAATAGGTTCAAACAACATAAGCTCATCAACTTGTCTTGCTATATTCTGTAGTGTCATTTGCTTTCCCAATTCATCATCTTCTATTTTTGTAATCCTGTATCTCAAATTGATATTAACCCTTGGTTGTTTAATCCATGTTCTGGCAACCAAAATATCACCCACTACATATTTCTCACTTATGTTTAATCTGTCTCTAATCTCCTTTGCTACATTTTCGCATCTCATATTGGTATAAGCGATATTATGCTCTGATGCATGATGTCATCGGTTAAATAACTGTATTTAAGTATATACTCTTTGCGTGGAATGTTGTTTTCCCACCAGTCATCATACATATCATTTAAGATTTTCCTGTTTCTTTCTCCTTCTACGCTGTCCTTTGCTCCTACTCTCTTACATATTTTTTAAGAAAATGATATATTTAAACATTGTGTCTATACAGTTGTCAATGTATGTTGCGGGGTCTTGGCAGTTTGTCATGGCTTCCACCCCTTGTAACTGTTTTACATCACCAGTAGCAATTCTGATGATATGAGTGTTGTTTTCCATAAACTGCCAAACTTTTATTCAAAGTGTATAAATTCAACATATAAATATCATCAAACACTATTACATCAAAAGGCGAGTAATCATAAATTGGTAATTTCTCTCCGGCATCTTCATGAACGGCAATGCTAAAAAACTTGTTATATGTTGTTGCTTCTATTCCTTTATCTTGTATTTCTTGTAATTGTCGGTTGGTAGGCACTACAAATAATACATTCTTATTCATCTTTGGAAATGCTGACCTATATAACTCTTGCCTGTGCCCGGAAATTTACCCCTGATGATTACTGGGTTTTGTTTAATAACTTTTTTACAAATGCTTTCAGTACTCCATTCATCTTCAATTGGTATATTGATATTCTTAATCTTCGGTATTTCTGGTAATTCATTAAACTTATACTTGTATGGTTGTGTTGGTAATGTTATAGCGTGCTTCTCTTCAAGTCTCCAATCTCCTATCTCATCGCCAAATTTCAGAAGTCCTTCCTGCCATTTTCTTAAATAAGTATATCCATAAACTTTATCCAAATCGTCTTCGTGGATAGTTATG